ATTGATTGATTGATTGATTGATTGATTGATTGATTGATTGATTGATTGATTGGTTGATTGATTGATTAATTGATTGAGTTTTCCTGTTTTCGTCAGACAGTGTATGACGAGTGGTTCATCACGTTGTACAACTTGATGTACACAGCTCTTCCCATCCTCAGCTTGTGCCTCTTTGAACAGGTATTAACAGGAAAAAAAATCCTTAAAATTGACAGAACCTAATTTTCGGGTAAATATTGTGTATGACGAGTGGTTCATCACGTTGTACAACTTGATGTACACAGCTCTTCCCATCCTCAGCTTGTGCCTCTTTGAACAGGTATTATCAGGAAAAAAAAATCCTTAAAATTGACAGAACCTAATTTTCGGGTAAATATTGTCTCAGTTTTCTAATAGTTTTGCCCTATTCTGCAGGATGTAAACGACCGCTGGAGCTTCCAGTACCCTCAGCTCTACTCTCCCGGCCAGCAGAACATGTACTTTAGTAAAAAAGCCTTTGTGCGCTGCATGATGCACAGCTGCTACAGCTCCCTAATCCTTTTCTTTATCCCGTGGGCAGCCATGCATGACACAGTTAGGGATGACGGCAGAGATATTGTAGACTATCAGTCGTTTGCTTTACTGGCACAGACCTGTCTGCTTGTAGCGGTGAGCGCGCAGGTAAAAACATCACATTTGTTGTTTCAGCATAGAGATGCCAAAGGAGTACAAATACTCATTAACAACACRTTAAATGTTTCAGCTGTGTCTGGACACACATTACTGGACAACAGTGAACCAGCTGTTTGTGTGGGGCAGCCTGGCTATGTACTTTGCTGTCACATTCACCATGTACAGCAGCGGCATGTTCCTCATCTTTACCTCCGTTTTCCCTTTCACTGGTGAGAAGATTCAATGCTTTTTTGGTGCATAATAATTAATCAAAGTCCTACTAAATTTGACCTATAGGTAACTGTCAAAAYCCTCTCTTGGAAAGAATTTCAAGAACTTCAATTTGTTTTTTTTGTTTTTTTCTGAATCTCCAAAATAGTTGAGTTGCCCTCTTKGTGATCTGTATTCAAGGAACACAGAGTTGTAAAGTAACTAAGTACAAATACTTTCTTACTGTAATTAAATAGCAATTTTGGGTATCTGTACTTTAATTGAATAATTATTTTTCAGCGTACTTTTTACTTTTACTCATTACATTTTTTACACAATTATCTGTACTTTCTTCTCACCACATTTTTTAAAAAGAAGTAGAAAGTCGTTACTCCTATTTTATTCTGAGTTGTTACTACTTTTAAAAAATACTATCCTGATAAATTGTGTCTCCTGGATAGAGTGAATTTAATTGTGGTTGGATGAGAAATGTATAAATATGTACCATTCTGACACACTATTAGCTTGTACACAACCCATCACAGCTGCACACTGTTAGAAAATATATTCTTTGGAGAAGTCACCTCCCAATAAATGTCATTTTGGAAAATCTAACTGCTCACTTTTASTCAGTACTTTTACTTTTAATACTTAAGTAGATTTTGTGTCAGAAATTTACTTTTCATACTTAAGTACAAAAAATATCAGATACTTTAAGACTTTTACTCAAGTAATATTTTTAGAGAAGACTTTAACTTTTACCAAAGTATTTTTATGATAAGATACTTGTACTTTTACTCAAGTATCMCTTTGAGGTACTTTATACAACACTGAAGGAACATTAGTTTCATTGGACATGTTTTCGTTTTTAACTTTGCATTGGAATTAATTTTTGAATGCATTTTTAAATTCTTAAAGCATTTCCTTTGTAATATCATGGGTTTTGATCTGAAATTTTGTTTTTTTTTCTGTTATTTTAGGCACAGCAAGGAACTCTTTAAATCAGCCAAATGTGTGGCTGACAATCTTCCTGATCTCTCTTCTTTGCATTTTGCCAGTGGTGGCTCTCCGTTTTGTTCTCTTACAGATTCGTCCAACTATCAATGACAAGGTGAGGGAATACCTGAGCTTAAATCGCTGATGTTTTAAATAAGAAGTGAATCCTGTTTAAACAGCTAAATTGTGCATTATTACCTCAAGCCCTGTCTCTCTCTCTCTCTCTTTTTTTCTTTATTTTTTTGTTCCCTGAAGGTGAGAAATCTGGTGCGAGAGGAAGTGCTGCCATCGCCCGCGCCTCGCCGCCCACCTGCCCGGCGCATCAGCACCCGTCGGTCAGGTTACGCCTTCTCCCACTCCCAGGGTTATGGCAACCTGGTAACCTCTCAGCGGTTCCTGCTCAAGCGGCCCATGAAGCCTCGGTCCCTCCTTTTCACCCAGACAGACTYAGGCCTGGCTGAAAATAAACCCCAGCAGTACCGCACCATATCTGAGGAGCCGGAGGAGTCACGGAGCTCGCAGTGTTAGGAGACATGCAGAGGCTTTATTGAGCTCAGGGTAGAAATCGCAGTCTTGTAAGGTTTCTCTGTCAGGGTGTAACCCTTAAAGTAGACATATCCTGCTTTTAAATCCTTCCCTTTTATATTTAAATCAATCAGTTGGGGGTCTAAAGTGAAACTGCAATGCTCTGGTCTGAATTCCTCCTTATTGTAACTCCACAAGCCCCCCTTTCACCCATTTTCTGAGGTGTGTCTCAGATCAACTCGTTTCGAGGCTGCCTCTTTAAATCCAAATGAGGTGTTTCACACCCTACCCCTTTCCAGCTTCCAGACCAGTTCAATCTACTTTGACAGAAGGAGCTGCAATTATCCAGCTGCACAGAAATGTGCTTTTTTTTTTTTTTACAAATTAATTAAAAGATGTCAACCAGAGACGACTTGTCCATCCAGCCTTACATGTTGGAGCCAGAGTCTGACCCAGAGGAGAATGAAGACCACCAAACTKTACAGTTGGTAAATCCAGACCTTATTTAGAAGTTCCGTTGCAAATAATTTTACGTAATATTACATATTCAACGTATTCAGAAAGCATCATACAAACTAGAGAAAATTTAACAGGTTGACAAATATGACCCAAACAGAATATAATGATATTTTTGCAGCACTGGGAGAGACTAAATTGAAATTTTCTGCACTACAAGAGACTCCAAGTGCACAACAAAAATGCATTCACCAGCTTAAAAAGTGATTTTTGCTGGATATGTCTCCTTTAAAAGAAAGGGAAAACAAAACATAAAGATGTTTTACAAAAAAAATACACGAAAATATCCTTTTTGAAAAAGTGCAGCTATGATGATTCACATCGGTATTTGTGTTGTTTTGTCAGTAAGACCAACTTTCGTATCTTGCAGTATTTTTCATTCTGGTACTCTAGTCATCAAAAAATGAAGTACATAAAGGCAAGCAATCATTAAAATAAATGTTTTTTGTATATATACAGTGATTTTGATTGTAATTGTGAATGATTTCATGTTTTTTAAATTGTAGTTTTTGTGTTTATGATGTCTTAACATCTTGCTGACAAAAAGGCTTTAAGTTCATCAAGTGACACAACAGTTGTTCGCTCTCTCAAACACCCACCAGTATTTTGCATCCAGGCTCTGCTCTGAACTTTCATTCAGCCCACATCTGCAGTGTCCTCTGAGACAGAAGCAATGACATCATTGGTGCAGGCCGGCCCGATGTAGCTCAGATCCAGAAGAGCTTTCAGTTTGCTTCGTGAGAGGCGGCATAGATCATACTTTATGGCTTTGTGCAATCAGAAAACACAGTGAGCTCTTACTTTACAGCTAAAGAAATAGAATATCCACATTGATTTGTGGGCTCATGACTTGTTTGATTCCAAAATAGATATTTAATTATGATCTCAATGATCTCACTGGAATGATATAGGTCCCCTCCGCTCCATTTTAGCCCCGCCTCATTGCTCCTTTTATGGCCATGCAGCCCTGTCAGCCTTCTTGGTGGTCTCCAGTGAAGGTCATGGCCTGATCACACTGCATGGAATAGGAATGAGGGCTTGCATGTTGTATAAATAGCCTTTGTGTGTGTGTGAGTGCGTGGCATATCCGAAATATGACGAGGCATTTTTGACATAACCTCTTTGTTGAGTAACTTAAAATACAGTATTAATAAAMGACAAAATATCTCAGGTTTTAAAATTTTCTGCAGCAGGAAAAATAAAAACAGGAACAAACGTTAGGAAGGTCATTAACGGCCTTAATTTGCAGTATTCATTATTAAAAAGAACAGTTTTAAAATACAGACACTAAAAGTGAGAGGAAGGAAATGAAATGTCAAGAGGGAACACACTGCTGGTTTGAAACCAGCAAAGACAAATTAAAGTCCAAACAAACAGTCAGCCACAGAGCCTGGCTGCCTGATAGGATCACTATCTGTTTTAGGCCAAAGGTCAGRTGGAAAGCAGGAGCCTGGACTGTAAGAAGAGACAGCAGTCTCATCTTCAGGAGGAAGAGAATTTCACACATGGCAGTCCAACTTGGAGTAAGGATGTGTTGTAGCTTGACGGGCAACATCATTATAACTGCCTGAGGACATAAATTACTCTACAGAAGATAGCTTTCTTAAAAAAATATGCAGAGCTTACACAAATATTAGTGCACAGTCCTCGTTTTCAATTAAAAACACAATTACTTAATATATTGCATTTTTTGTGTTTGGTAAAAAGGCAGACAACTTTGACACAAGCACATAATTTTATTAAGATTTATTAGGAAAAAGTCCAAAACATTTGCATTTTTATGAGAATTGTTTTAGAGGTTGACCAATTGGGGATTTCCAATGGCCAATACCAGAAACCATCTTTAAGAATCTGTGCAATCAGTGGTTAATTAAAAAAATTATTTGCAATACTTTGAAATGTGATCACATTATAATTGGATGTATATGTCTGATCAGTTGKTCTAGTAAACAGACAAATTTTCATCCAGAGCTCATGTAAAATCCAACATGTCCATTTGACTGTGAGCAACTGTTGCAATGAGATTACATTAAACCAAAAACTAAACAGTTCAAACAACATTTTTTGCCAGATTAAAAATGACATAACATGTTTTGCTCACAACTACATTAGCTTTTACAAGCGATTCAGAGGTTTCTCCTTGGCTTATCTTGCACTTTTCAAATTTTGTGAAAATTCAGCTTACTTCTTATATAACCTTGACAAAAAGCCAAACATTTGAAAATGTAAAACAAGGATAAGAATGGATCTGTTAACTGGCTCRACTGTTTTACCATCAGGATATGATCATATACAATAACAGCATCCCACAAAAAAGAACAGTTGATTAATCACTCCTGTTGATTTGAAGGCTTTGTTGCTCAGCCTAAACATGGACCTTAAGTGACTCRTGGGGGATTGATTTCCAGATTATACTGATGAGTCTGTGGTAAGACTTTTGCCTTATCAGAGATCAAGCAATGGATTGGAGGCTTAAGAGTTTAAACGTTTGGAAAATGGTCGGTGTGCAACAAAAAGGAATGTACAAAGTAAGATGAGCAGAGAGAAAGGGAGTACAATTTGTGTCAGCTGTAATCCCTGGGTCTAAATAAAAGATTACCCTCTGCTTTWGAAAGTGTGCACTCAAAACGTGCTACATTAGCACCAGTGAGCATAGACTGCATTTTTATTTCATAAAACTAATACAAAATCTTCATGTTCTGGTCAATTTTTTAAGTAAACTTGTAGCTTTTTTCTTCCTTTTACAATGCTCACTTCAAATGTGATCAGTTTCATCAGAAAACCCATCTTTGACGCAAATTGAAGCAACTGCAAAATGCAGAGTAAACCGCAATCATCCTCACGTAACCCATTTTGTGTCATTTTTRGCTCTCCACCCTGAGCTAAACTGCAAACGTTTCTTAAACCTAATATTGAGAAACAGAATGCAGCAAGACTTCCAGTTCAGCATTGTTCACTTGACTGATTTGAAATGGGACCAAATGTTTTCCTAAGGCCTCAAAATGTGCACCAAACTGGTACAGCATTGGGAATGAAATTAAAAAGGTGGAACCATACAAAAATCACATTTTAGTCAACATAAGGCAATTTAAAGTCTTTAGAAAACATTTGCTCTAATCTTTCAGCAACTGAGCATTTACTCAATTTCATTGCCAAAGAGCCATAACAGCCAGATGAAATTCCTGTCAAATGCATTTTTTAAACTAAAATGGGTTCCTACTCATGGCATTTGTAAAAAAACTAGGAAAGGAAAAATGCATTGCCTTAGCAAAATCACCTTCAGCATAGAGCAGGGTGAACCTGCTGGCACAAAAACAAGTCCTGCTAATGACGCTCTCCCTTCATGAGCCACTTCTGAGCCAGCTGGACTCAGAAACAAGGCCACAATTGTCTTTTAGATTGTTTTCTTCCTTTTTTAAAGATCACCTCCAAAGACTTATCTGCATTAGTGTGTTGCAACAGTAGTCAATCAGTGACAGAAATTGACAGCAAACATTCTTTCATGGTAGTAACATCTTTGCTTCATGCCTGACATCATTTGTCCACAGACCAGCTGCGTGTTCAGAAGTTGTTTGCAAATGTCATTTTTGTTCAAAGTCAAATAGATTACCACAAGCAAGCTTGTACACATTCCTAATAAAAAAAGTGGAAAGGGAAAGAAATCTAAAAATTGATATACCTTGTTTTTAAAAATAAAAGGGGAGAAAATCCAACAGTAAGATTGAAAAGTTTATTTAATTTTAACAACTTAAATACATTCAGTAGTAACAATTACGTTTTAAGACCATAGAACATGAAAATTCACTGAAGTGACACAAATTACTAACACTGACATTTTTAAAAAAGGCACATTTAAGAATCAGTTTTGCATACATTAAATCCAATATAGCACTAGTTACAGCTCTGTTTAATAGTAAATAGGTAACCTGAAACAAGACCAGTCACAACACAGAACAATTATTGCTTTAATTATTGCTGTAGTAAAAGTGAACCTTGTGCATTTCTCCTTAAGATTGTTTCAAGCAGCATAAGGGCAGTGAAATGAAGCCAAACACTTGCATTAAATCCCCCATATGGAGGTGTAGTTTGCATAAGTTTAGATACAGCCACAAAGATTTTGCAGTCTTTAAAGTATTGATACACCCACTGAAGAACTGCAACAGAAATGTCTTTCAAAACATGTCAGGTTGTTTCATTGGACACATGTCCCGTTGGAGGTCTTAGTTTTGTAACTCTAGAATTAAACTGGGTTAAATATGGTCAAGAGTGTAATTATTGTACATCAAAGGAAACACCAACAGGCTTGAACAGCTTTGCTTATTTAGTAAACTCAATTTTCTCCCCCCTGAAATATAAAATTTTATTTTAAGTCATAAAATCGTTTGCTTGAAAAGATAAGTTCGTGAGATCCTGTTCATTTCACCACTAAAATATTTATACAATTTCACCTGAACTAAACAATTACAACATGCAGAAACCTTTTAACCATATTTAGCCCACTTTACACTACACTTTAATTCGTCATCTCAATTATTCCAACTGGAGAAACTGAAGTGAGCCAATAAACTTTGAGTTACCTGGCCAAGTCCTAAAGCTCCATCCAAAAAGCTCAGTCATCTTTCGAAAGGTCTTCTTACGAGAACCCCCACCATTTGTGCACCAGAAGATCTTCTGCATAGCCTGTATCCAGGAGGCGATTGCCACACTCTTCCCAGCGACACACCTCACCACGGTCAACCACCACAAACTTCCACTCCACATGGCTTTCTGCAGGCAGGTTGACCACAGTAGACCAAAGCCCGTCCTTGGCTTTTTCAAGCGGTATGAAACCCTTCCAGTTTCCCAGCTCCTGTTGGTTTCCTGTGATGGCCACCTTCTGGTACGGCGAGTGGGTAAGATAGTGGATGCGGAAGGTCACATTGACATTTTGAGGCATGGGTTGGACTGCCACAACCTTTTTGTCGCTTCCTTTGCTTTTCTCAACACTGCTGGACTGATTGACTTCTGGCAAAAGAGGGGGATCTGCAGTCTCACAAGGAGCATGCTCATAAGCAGAGCTGAGGTTGTGTTCTGGGGAAACTGGGCCAGTCTGTGCGTTATGTGGAAGAGATGAAATGGAAAGGTTCATCCAGGGAAGAACTTCATGGTTACCATCTGTGATCCACTCATTTGTGTCCATAGTTGCTTCCATGATACTAATTTCAGTCATTTTGTCTTCTCTCTCTGCTCTTTCCTTCTGCTCGTTTTCTACCTCATTCCTAAGTTCTTCCACTAAGCAGACCTCACTGGTAACCTGTGCTCTCAACTGGTCTGCATCTCGTTTGAAATTGTCCTCAATCTCATGACCCAATGAGTCCCGTTTTGTTGGAGAAAGCTCGTAATTTGCTTCAGTGTTCTCACCATGGGCTTGCTGTGAAAGATGAGACTCGAGTACCATTTCTGCAGGATCATTACTGACAAATGGAGCTTTATCAGCAATGGAATTGCTTTGAGCTTCAACACGCTCTTCAGATTTTGGATCCCAATGAGTTAAAGAAAGCTCCACTTTGTTGAGGGTTAAGTCACATTCGATGTCAGGCAAATCTGGGCTGACAGTCATGCTTGAAATTCCACTCTCCTCCCCAACACCAGAAACAGACCACGTCAGCTCACTTTCATCAAAAGCCATGTCTGTGACCGAAACAGTGGCAACTTCTGAAAGATCTGCAATTACCACCTGTTCACTTTCTGCGTTTGAAAACACWGGCATGTCAGAACAAACCAGCTCTGCACTTTTCTCAGGATCTCTGGAGGAGGACAGTAGATGGTCTAGACTTTGTTCAGGAACCACCACATCCACGCTGGTTTCATTTTTCTCACTCTGAAGATTCYCAAGTTCAAATTTAGGACCATCAACACCAGCGTCTTTAGCCAACTCTGGCACCAAAGCATGTAAATTGGCTTTGGCAGCATAACGATCTTGATCATGGCACATGGTTTCTGATTCAACTAACTGACTCAGACATGGGGGAGCAATGTTGAGCATTCCACTTGAACGGTCACATTCTTCAGAGGAAGACAGCATTACACCCTTAATACCATCCTCTTGATTGCTGAGAGGATCAGTCGTGAGTTCAGATTCCAGCTCTTGCTTGTTATTCTCTGTTTTTTCTGGACTGACTGTGACAAGATTTTTAAGATCAGTGTCCTTTTCAATCGCCTCAATAAGTGAAATACAGTCAGCATCTGAAGGGCCGTCATAAACACTTGATATCATATTCTCACACTTGCCCTGCAGTGAAGATGGTACTTTTGTTTGCTCAGATGGAGAGGAGCCAGTCGCACACTCCAATGCCATCTGTTGATCATGTGCAGATTTGTTTTGTGGCATGCTTTCAATGTCCTTCGCTAAAGACAGGGAATCACTGCCATCAGAAGACTGGATATGGTCTGGGTGAGAAACYTCTTTGGTCTGGTCATCGTTGCATGAAATGGTTACATTATCCATACAGATGATTGGCTCTTCCGTTTGGTTTTGTTGTGCATCATCTTGGTTATGATTTGCTGGAGTATTTTCATGGCAAACTGGGCTGTTCAGAACCAACTTTTTTTCTTTGGGTTTCTTATCCAAAACCTGCATTTCGGTCACCTCAATTTCCTGTGCTTTTGGCACCTAGACAAAAAGAACCCCCCCCCAAAAAAATACATGTTATGTACAAGTTTAAAGTTATGCTAGTTAAATCACTTGGAAAGGGAAAAACTCCAAAAGTTTGCCTTTATAACTWTACAAACCAGGCTCACCTTCTCTTCATTTTCATGGTTTGCAGAAGTCACGACAGGCATCAAGCAGCTATCACGAACCTCCTCTGCGTCTTCTGAAGTCTCATCTGGTAAATTCAGCTTGCAGACATCCTCCACTGTCCAGGCAGTTTTAGCACAATTCTCAGCCGCACCAGAAGAGCCCAACACATGAGAAGTGCCAGGTCTGTTTTCTGGCTCCAGTTCCTTCTCAGGAGCAGCAGCACGGCGATTCCTGAGATTGTAGGGACTTCTTTTGGCAACTTTCATATCCAACAAGTCATCTTCACTCAGATCTAGACAAGACAGGATATAAAAGAAAAAAAACATCTTATAAATCAATTCAAAACATCTTAGATTAGAACAACATTAAGACACTGTAAACAATAATGCATCTCAAACAGAGAAGTTTAAACTCTATGTAAAATATTTGCCATTTCATTTAAAGAACAGCTTGATTGTCCACCTGAATAAAACAAGTGATCAAATATTTGCTTGTACCAGTGCACGTTTGTCAGTTCAAGTCTCATGAACCACTGGATGGTTTTCAATTAAATTTAAAGAAAGCACTGACTTGATGCACCTCCACCACTGACTAACTTTTGATTTAGTGTGCCACAATTACACAAAAATGGTTTTAACAGTCAAATTTACATACGTAGCTAAAACTTGCCATTTTAACTTGCTTCTAGCTTTAGTAGCTGGGCATCATTCCCATCACATGCTGAGCATGACACCCCCCACCCAAAAAAAAAAAAAGGCCTGAGAGAGAAAACATTTTCACATGTCATGAAAATGTGGGTTTGTTATTTTAACAAAAATTGCACTTTGCACATCACACTCACCTCTGAACCCTTTAAAAACAACACCASAAGATAAACAAATAATCAATGAGTTACTGGTTTCTTGCTTAATCTCAGCTAAATTCCAGTGATTAGACCATGCAGGGAGGAGAGAGCTTCACTTAATTCCGTGGTATTCTCAGATACAGTACACACAAATTTAATTGTTTACTGGTGCACAACGGGTCTGAGGAGACTTTAGGGGAGTTTTGTGGAAGGGGAGGGACTTTAATTTAAGATGCAAGTAAAACTGTGAATGAGCTACATTTGTACAGTTCCCAACACAGTGATGTATCAACTGTTAAATCTTGAGTGGACTGAAATAGACCTGAGTTTGACAGTGTGACATTACACAGACACTCCCCCCTCTCTGTTTTCAACAAGACTACAACGCCAGCATTTTCCCTTTGGACTAATATTTTAAAAGACGAGTTTCTACAATAATACCCAATGTTCATTTATGCACAAAGCTCATTATCTGCTGGATGAATTCTGCGTGAACCGTACCTGTTGACTCCACACGGCCGCGTGTTTCCTCCCCCTCACGCAGGGGCTCGGAGCCCAGYGGCGGCGCGGCTCCGCGGCGGCCGCCCTCGCCTTCCCCGGCTGCGGCCTTCCTCCGCTTCCCCTTCACGCTCCGGTAAATGATGAACCCGACCACGGACACCACCGCGATCACGGCCACGGCAGCCACGGCGGGACCGTGGCGGCCGATCAGGCAGAAGAGCGAAGCCAGATCTGTGCGTTTCTCCATGACCAGCGGCTTCCTCAGTTGCATCGAACTGAGACGATCCGATTGCTTTTTTTTTTTTTTTTTAATTTATTTATATAGGCTATATAATGAAAAAAAAGACGTGTGCGTGTGAAAACCACCGTGCACACCCACTCTTCTGTGCCCCGTACGTCAGTGCGCGCTGGCTCCAAATTGCTCCTAAAGAGCAATGAGTGGCTGCAGGTGCGATCAGCTGATTGGCTGGCAGCGTCACGTGACCGCTGATTTCATTGATGAACGGAATAGTGATCTGGTGTGTGACGTTCTGCACTGTTTGATGTAATTATCGTGAATATCAGGTCCCAGTGATAATGGGGACAGTTTGAAATAGCAAGTGGATAAATGTTTTATTTTGATATAGCCTAATAATTGTGTTCAACAAAAGGGGGTGGGTGCTTATAACAAATAAAAACAAATTTTATCCTGCTTCCTAGAAGTTTATTGTCTCAAATTCCTTGAGAAACGTACTGTTTTGTGTGTGTGTGTACGTACAGACCTGTGTTTCATTCTATGCATGTACTGGAAAAACCTGGACAGGAAAAAAAATGCTAAAAGTACCTTTTTCTGTTTTCAGAGTCAGGTTCATGCTTTTTTTTCTCCCAAAGCTATAAGAACCACTTCAGAGGATCTAAAGAGCCAGATATTTGTTCACCCCTGATTTGAGGCTTGTCATCATATTTCTGTTCTGTTCAGGATAAAGAATAACACCAAGACGGTTATTAAACAGCTCCCCCCAGTGGAAATGTATGGTAAGTATTAAATATTTCCTGAAGATTCTGGACTTGCACCTGTTAGATCACTTACTGGCAGTGATGGGCWGCACTAATCTAAAAATTAGTTCCACTAGCCCTAAAACACTAATTCAAATATTCAGGTCCCCTAATTCTAAAGCACTAATGGACTGCAAGTTTTAGCAAAAGCTAATTTAAAAGCACTAAAATAACCCAGTCAACCCAAGAACAATCTTCAAAAAACATGAGTCACATATTGCCATGTTGCTCTCTTAATACTTGTCATTGACATTCCACAGTTGTATTTGGGTTCATATATTGTCAGTATATTGTCACCTGGTGGATAAGTGACACACAAAACAAAATGTGCAACAGCTTTCACCGTCAGCTGTTCACCGTTGATCAATAACATTTATAGACCTCAGTTAGTACTTCTAAATTTAGCCTATGAATTTAGCAAGCGCTAATCCAATAATGAATTTTAAAATAGCAAAAGCCCTAAAGCACTAATCATGAAATTAGTTCCCCTGTTAGTGCTTTAGGGCAGTGTTTCCCAAATTTGGGGTCGGGACCCAAAGTGGGGTCCCGAAACATCAAGGTGGGGTCCTGAAAAGATTTTCTAAATTAATTACATTTTTGTCTTAGTTGTTACAGAGGAGTGAGTGTATTTAAAATGGATAAATGTAGTATAAAATATTGTTACTATGCCCATGCTTTGTTGACCTGATACAAATGTTTATCATCCAAAAATGGGACCACAGGTCTCTGCTACTGTTATTTTGTGGATCAATGGCTGAAAAGTTTGGGAACC